TAGTCACCCAGACGGCAAATACTAATCTGATGTTGGCTATTTATATAAAGTAGTTTTAAAAGTTATCAGGATTAATATATAGTGTCCCTAAATTGCATTTTATTTCCCCTAAAAACGATTGCTAACTAAATCTTTCTAAGTTATCTAGGAATGTAATACCTTACCACTTGTATATCCAATTTTCCATTCTATTATTAACAAATTTATCTATTATATTAGGACACAATTAAGCACTGATCTAGAACTGTTAATTAGATGAGGTGCACAGGATAATTTAAAATGAAATTTTAATAGATTGATGTCTTCTTATATTTCTTTGTGTTTTTACGGCTTCAATAATGATTATTCAATCTTTTACACTCATGCCCACGTAAATTAATATTTTGACTTCCTAATATGCATTTTTATATCAAAAATTATATTTTTGGCCTCCTCTTATAATTTAAAGTATATTATTCAAAGACCTTTAAATTTCATTTTTGTATATTCAAACTTATTTTGCTAAGGTATCATATGGTCATGGTGTCAGGGCAGCTCTGAAGATCTCAACACAAATTGTTTTATTTAAAATAGATGTCACGATTATTTTAAGGCTCTTACCTATGACTTGATACATATCCAGAGTCCAGAAATGAATTAAAAATTCTGGTGAATGTTTAATGTACCTTGCGTTCTGGTAGTATACCTACTTTATATAAGCATATGTGTGCACGAAATATTAGCCAGTATGAATTTTATTTTTATATGACTAAATTATTTTAGTCAATAAGAGTGTCAAGATCTATGGTTAGTATTTATAGATTATATGTACATTCTTATGTAGCAAGATAAAATAGGTCAGGTATTCCCTTCTAGAATGTTAAAAATACTAGGAATGCAACACGCGTAATAGAGAGTATGGAAAAAATATAATATTCTATTTGGTCACCTAAGAAGAAGGGAACTAATGTCCAAGAAGTCATGTGTTAAACCTAAAAACCTTTTAACAAGGTAGTAAAAAGTATGCGATGTTGCTTAGTTTAATAGGTTCTTACAATTTACTTGACGCCAGGAATAAAGTAGGATTAAACAAAAATCATGTATGAATATCGACAGAATGCATGAGCCGATAAAAATGTCAATTCAAATATAGTAATCGAATTTATCAGAAGTTTTTTAAAGGTGAAATCAGAAAGAGGATCATGAATACAGAATATAAAATAATCGAGGTGTAATAATAGGTATAACAGGAAAGTTAATTCTTGCGTAACTACAGAATGTACATATAAAATAGGTTGCCCAACTAACGACGACTAAGTTATTTAATGTAACTGCCCGAGAGACAATGTAATGAGAGCGTCTAAAAGATAGACTATAAGAGAAACTAATGTAAGACTAACGAGAGCGTCAGTTGTTCTGAAAAATGGGTAGAAGTTTAGGTAAAAACAAAAATCCTTGAAATTTACGTATTTGTTTCATAGAATTCGAAAAAGGTTGTATTTTATCATTCGGTCTAAGATCTATTTTTGCCTATTTATAAATATAAAATTCCCATAACAGCTCATGTAATAAGCCAAATAATTTTTTAAAACAATATAATCTAATTTTAATATTATTTATTATTTGTTATATTTTTTAATTTTAGTTTGATTAATTAATTTTATTATTTTGTAGCATAACTGAATAGAATTTGCTTTAATTTATGCGGCGCTTGGTTTGATTCCGCAAAATGGCGTCAAGGTAATGCGTGCGCTCCTCATTTTGCATTTTTCGTTTTTTAAACTGCTAGCTAAGTCTCTATCCTTTAAAGCTTGCTTTTCTTATTATTTTAGAAGTCCTTACAGTGTCTACGTTGGCAACCTACCTAAGTATGCATTGGAACGTGATATTGATACAATATTTCATGGCTGCAGTGTAAGGCCTGATTTTCATTAATTATTGGCCTAGATTGAAAAAATTAAACTTATTCATGACAAGGAGACTGGTGCGTTTAAGTGTTTTGCATACGTCGACTTAGCTGATCAAAATTCTTTCAATAAGGCTCTTTCTTTCAACGGCTACGTAAATCTCATCCCATATTACTATGGCTTTAGATTGTAGACGGAAGTATTCTGAAGGTAAATCCAGCTGCCGATAAAAGGGGAGGAAGAGGTGAGAATATTCATTTTAATTTGGCTATAATATTGGCATTCTTGCACTTCCTCATGTGCTTTTTCTACTATAGGTGGCCGAGGTAATAGCGATATGAAAGGACGAGGTACTGTCGGGAATGGCTGGCAATCTTTTGGTGGTAACCGTGGTTTCGATGCCTCAAACTTTGAGGGTATGTTAACAACGTAAATCGCGTATTTTTCTTAATCATTACTTGCTTGAAACCTTTATTTATTTCAGTTGGCGGTCGAGGTTCTTACTCTGGAAATATACAGCGCGGATTTTCTGGAGGACGTGGGAGGAGTGGTAATTTTGCAGGTATGTGTGGAAATCGCTTTGATGGAAATACACGGGGTGGCACCTCTGAAAACGTTGTACAATGTGATCCTGAAGCCAGAGCCGTATTTAAACTTAAGAAAGTTGAGCGTAATCCCACATCGCTTTCTGATGAGAGAGAACTATCTGAACGCAGCAAAGCGATTTTTGGTTGTGGTCGCCCGAGAGAAGCAAGTCCCATTCGCGAACAAAGGACTCGCTCCAGGTTCTAGTCTTTCATTTGTCTTTCTCAATTAATTTATTCTGGGCCTCAATTTTAACTCAATTATACATTATATTTAGTTTTTCGTTATAATTACCTTGGCATTTTTTTCGCTTATTTGACAGTTCTTTCGTGAAAAAGTTTAGCTATGTAGTAAAACGCTTACGTTCTTATTATTGATTAAGTTATTCATGTCTACTAAGTCATTTAAGCGATCGAGCTGGAATAGCACGTGGAAATTCTGGGCTTCTACGAGTTTTAATTATACATACCTTGTATTAATTGGCTTTATCTTTGCGCTCCGATATTTACATGTTATTTTTACTTATGTTAATAATTTTCTCGGGTT